GGGCACGAAATAAAGGCAAAATGGTCTTTTTTATTTCTTTGAGACAAATCCTCCATTGTAATCTCCCCTGCATCCAATAAACCAGTCATTGGTGTGGGAATTCCCCAGATATTTCTCAATGTGACAAGGGCAGAATCTGCTTCAGTCAGTTCTCATTTGTAATTTTTAAAATTAGCTGAGCATATGTATTGCCTTGACAGACACTGAAAGAGAAAGTTTTTGAGAAACCACGTTGAGAGGAATTGTAAAAAACAGCTTCCCCAAAAAGAAGAGGTTATAATAATATGTGTTGGGAATTCCATTTTATTTTCCCACATAGCTGTTGCTGGGGAGGGCTGCAACTGTTGGATCCCTCTTGTTGTTTTGAGACTCCTTTATCCTGTCTCATCGCCTCCCCCCTTTTGTGCAACAGATAGATAGGTTAAGGTTGAACTGAGCTCAAAGCCTACATAGCCCCACCTCCTTCTATCTCTCCCCCCATACAGATTACATTCTCAGAAAATACAGTAGTATGTTTCAAGGATCAGAACAGTTCCTGATAAATGCATCTCTTCATGGCCTAGCCTCATGGAATTTGGGGGGTTCCTCACCTTGATTTCTCTCTGCATCCAGCCTCTTCTTCATGTACAGCCATAGCTGGTCTTCATTCATATCACCCAGAGTTAATGTATGTTTGGCATACTGTCCAACCCTGCTGACATGCACATTTTCCGCAGTATCAGGATTAACCTGCCAGTAGCTGGCACGGGATTCAAGGCTCTCCACACGGGATTTCAGCTTCCTCACTTCATCCGCTGAAAGTTTAGATTTTTTTTAAAAAAGCTGAAATGGTTCCTGGTCAAATCCACTCCCCTATCTCTATTTGCAGACTAAAGATCCTGCGTTTATCCCTCTATGCCTCCACTCTGTCCAAATCAGTGCTGAATTTTATTGAACACAAAATGCCTTCAGAGAGAAGGTACAACAGAGAATTCCTCTGAATATTAGGAAATTCAGGACAACTGCTACAGAGTTGGCTGTTTACAAGTCTACAACCCCAATTCACCTGTGTGGCTAACCAACAAGATGAGTCGATCTACTATATGAAATAAAATCGCATAATTAGTTCAATCAGGGATGGATATACTTCCAGCACTGTTTACAAGGGAAAAAAGTATGAGCATCTGGTTGCCTAGGACTTTGCCCAGCCATGAAAAATCCTAAATAATAAAAAGCAGAGACTTAAAATTGGGATTGTTATGCCCATTATCCCATTACTCTCATTTTCTTTGACCCCTCACTAGTCATTAGGAGAAGGCACTAAGTTACATTCTTCCTCAGCTGTAACTTATCCTACACCTGGCATTTTGTGACTTCTTACCTAGAGCAATAAGCCCAAAAAGCAGACCAAGTAGAAAGAGCCAGGCCAGGAGCAAACCGAGAAGCCATTTCCACCAGCTGCAGCAGGAGGCACAAGGGCACCAGGCTGGAGCAGCACCGGCCCCTCCACATCCTTCATCGCGCTGGATTTCTATCGTGGGAAAGAACATGAACAGTAAAAATATTTATTAACAAAGGCTCAAAGTTGGAAGAAAATCCAAATGCCCTAGAGAGACGGTCATGCAGCCTTTAGATATGTTTCTGTTTAATTTTTTTAAAATTAAAAATACATAACAGAAATTACCAACATCTGTCACTGTATTCCTATCACTCTTGAATAACCCATTTTAGAATCCAGTTCTGAACAACTTCCAGAAATTGTAATTCTACAACTTCCCCAAACAACTATTAATACAGGGCTTCGGTAAGCATTACTAAGAAAACGTATGAGAAGTGCTCTAAACACATAGAAGAAATGCTATAATGAATTCTGCACATTAATATTATTGGCATAATGAATGCTAAGTTGCTATTTCATCTACATATTATATACACAGGAATAATTATTGGGTACCATGTTATTTTGCAACACACATATTTCATTTTTAATTTCCCAAGTGATTAAAGCTTCAAATATGTTTCTAAAGTAACTCAGAATTCTCAGTGTTAAGAAGATGATCCCAGCCTCTCTTCAGAAGGATACTTCCATACTGCAACAGACTAACATGAAACTTCTGTTACCCATTTTCTGATTTTTAGAAACATTATACGGGGAGGCAAGATGGTGGCTGGAAAATGGGCAAAGGACTAACAGTGCAATCCTCAGCAGAGTTACATCTTCTAAATCAATTGAAGTCAAAGGACTTAAAAGGTTTAACTTTGCTTAGGACTGCATTGTAAGAGAGGCTCCACTTTTTATGCAGTTATTATGCTCACTACGAGTTCACCACTACCACTGTTATACCAGGCAAACACCTGAAGTGCAAGCCACAGATGCACACATGTAAGCAGCCACAAAAGCCAAGGAGCCTTGATTGCAATCTGTAGCAAACCTAACTGCTTCATCAATTGTGGAGCCACTCTAAAGCTGCTCCAACAACTATTTGACAGAGAGGTGCCTGACGATTATTTTCTGAACTCTTTCCTAGTTCTATTGCATTGTTTATCGGATTATGCTATTTGATTCCATTGTTCTACACTGTGTAATCAGCCATGAGTCTTGGTGAGGAAGGTGGGCTATAAAAAGAGAAAAATAAATATTCAAGATGGTAAGCAATTTTTCCTGCATCTGTTCATTCTAAAGAGTCTTGAGTAGGAGTCCTGCGGGATTGTGCCCCCTGGCTGTAGTCCTCAGTAGATTGGAATGTTTATACTGGAGAGTAGCAACAAGATGGCGGCGGCGTGCACGGAGCTCGGTGTAGGAGCTCCTGCGAATAGTTGCAGAGCGTAATAGACGTTTACTCTGTATTGTTCGGTTTGCATTGTGGACGGAACGGGCTGAATTGAATAGGACTGTGAGAGCGAGCATAAAGGAATGGTGGAAAAAACAGCTTACCGATGAGGTGTCGGTGTGGACAGAGCCATGGGCGGACTGTGTCTGGTGGGGCTGGAGTTCGGCGCCCCGGCCTGGCGTAGGAGATCATCCGGGCCGAGAGGCACTGGTGGCAGGGGCGGCGGCGTTGCAAGCCGCGCGGTGGCTTGGTGCCGGAGCCGGGAGAGGGCCGCTGATGTCCTCGCCCCGCCGGCGTCGGGCGTGCGGCTGGTGGTAGGGGGATGTGGGGGGCGTGTACCCACCCGGGGACCCCCTTGTATGGGCTGGGCCTGACCGCGGCGAGGCGGGCGGGGCGCTGGCGACCCTTGTTCACAGTGGAGTGGAACCATGAGAGACGGCAACGCGCGCCCCAGCGGCTATAGGGGCGGCTGCGGTGGACCAGCCGGAGCCGGCATCGGAGACTGTAACATCAGTACCGGGAAGATGGGCCCAAGGCGGGAGTGACATCGGCCGGATTACCCATTGGGGAACCCAGGGCAACCCGACCACGCCAGTGGTTGCGACCTACACCCTGAGGAGGCGGGGCGTCGAGCTGCTGTTCCTGGCGTTGCTTGGTGATGAGAAGGTCGGGATGCGGATGACCCAGTGGAGAGCGGAGTTGGCGAGGGTCAGTAAGAACTACCGCCCCCTGATATGTGGAATGAGCGGACTGGGAGTGGTGGTAAGCGGATTTGTGTCGGAGAACATTGGAGCTGCTAATTGCTACGGCATGGGAGAAAATAGAGTTATCAGCCCAATTTTAAATTGAAACGATATTAATTGATGTTGATGTAAGGATTTACTAAATTGGGGCTGTAGGGATTGTATTAATAGTGGCTGGGTTAGCATAGAAATAGATTATTATATGTACAGGATTAGCTCTCAGCTTTAAGGCCCAACCAAACTGTACCACATTCTAGGATTGCTAATTATGCGAGCTATTTAGAGGGTTACGAGTTAATATAAAAAGAAAAACAAAGAAAAAGTGGGTGGGCGGGTATCCGATTGGCCTTTATGTTATAAATGGCCAGATACCTGATTATTATTGGCAATTCAATTGGATGATGAGTTAGGATAGGTTAGGGGAACCGTAGTGATAGCAGTAGTATAGGTTGCACCCACTGTGTATTAACTGAGTAGTACATTGAGTATTTTTGCTGTTTGTGCAACCAGTGGTCTGAAGCTTGTGTAAACTAGCGAAGACTACTGAGAGAAATGACGTCGGGCCAGAGTATTCCGGTGCTCCTGGGGAGGGGGAAGTACAGCGATGGGAGCAGGCAGGGGAGTATGGGAAGGGGGCGGAGAAACAGGAAAGCTCGGCCCCTTTCCAGCCTGCGTCCCATCCCAAGAGATGTTGGCAGTGGGGTTAGGAAAGGTACCCCTTCTCCGACATTGGTGTTATGTAACGCCAGGTCTATAAATAATAAGACCATGGTTCTCAGGGATTTTCTGCAGGACCAGGATGTAGACCTGGCGTGCATGACCGAGACCTGGGTGCAAGAGGGAGAGACAGTAGTGCTCTCCCAGCTTGCCTCGCCTGGGTTCTCGGTCCTCCACCAGTCTCGGACTAAGGGGCGGGGGGGAGGAGTGGCACTATTCATCCGGGAGGCTTACTCCTTTAGAGCGCTTTCGCCGCTGAGGATCACGGGCATTGAGTGTACTGGCATGGTCTGGGAGGCCGGGGAGAGTTTGGCGATTTGGCTGGTGTACCGACCGCCCAACGCACCGGCCAACAGCCTGCTGTCCCTGATGGAGGCCGTAGCAGGCTGGGCATTGGAGCACCCGCGACTAATTGTCCTGGGTGACTTCAATGTCCATGCTGATGACGCGACCTCTATTCAGGCAGCGGACCTGGTGTCGTCCATGGCGGCACTGGGACTCTCCCAATGTGTAACGACCCCCACGCACCAGGCGGGGCACACGCTCTATTTGATCTTCGCGGCGGGGGTTACAGTGGACCGGGTTGCTGCTTCGGCAGTTCCATGGTCGGACCACCATGCTCTGAGGGCCCGCCTGAATGTGCCACCCCGACCCTGTTTGGACGGCGAGCGGATTTTGGCTCGCCCGCAGAACCAGATGGACCCTATGCGGCTCCAGATGGCACTGCGGGAACCGATACCCCCTGGCGGCTTGTTAGATGAGCTTGTGGAGGACTGGCATGGCCGGCTCTCTGCAGCCATCGACGAGATCGCTCCACGGCACCCTCTGCGCCCCCGCACTAAGCTAGCTCCTTGGTACACCCAGGAGCTGCGGCTTATGAAGCGGGAGCTTAGACGGCTAGAGAGACGGTGGCGCCGAGCTCGTGACAAAGCATCAAGAGCATCTTATAGGATGCTTATGAAAGCCTATGAGATGGGAGTCAAAGCCGCAAAGAAGGATTTCTATGCGGCGGAGATTGCGTCCGCTAGCTCTCGCCCAGCCCAATTATTTAGGATGATTCGGTCGATAACAGCTCTGCCACATGGCAGACCAAATGATAGAGAATTGGACATAGGCTGTGAGGCATTTGCAAGCTATTTTGCAGATAAAGTCTCGATGCTCCGCCGTGACCTCCCCGCCACACTTGAAACAGTAAATGAGCTTGAGGCCCCTTGCATGTCTTCGGATTTGATCCTGGATCGCTTCAGTCCACTCAGCCTTGAGGAAGTCGACAGATTGCTCGCCACTGTGCGCCCAACCACATGCAGCCTTGACCCTTGGAGGGACAGTTCCCTGGGGCACTCAAGGAAGCGATGGTCCACCCTCTCCTGAAAAAACCATCTTTAGATCCGTCCAAATTGGCCAACTATCGGCCGGTCTCTAACTTGCCCTATTTGGGCAAGTTGATTGACAGGGCGGTGGCGACACAGCTGCAGGGCTTTCTGGATGACGCTTCTGTGCTCGACCCCTTTCAGTCTGGCTTCCGCCCGGGACACGGGACGGAGACGGTCTTGGTCACCCTAGCTGACGACCTCCGAAGGCATCTGGATCGAGGCGGATCGGCAGTATTGCTGTTGTTAGATCTGTCGGCTGCGTTTGACACGGTCGACCATCAGCTGCTAGCCCACCGCCTCGCCGAGGTGGGGATTCAGGGACTAGCCTTACAATGGCTGGTTTCTTTTCTCCAAGGTCGGGGACAAAGGGTGGCGTTGGGGGAACAGCGGTCCAGGAGACACCGCTGGAATGCGGTGTGCCTCAAGGGGCTGTGCTGTCCCCCATGTTGTTTAATATCTATATGCGCCCCCTTGCCCAGATTGCCCGGAGGTATGGGCTGGGGTGCCATCAGTATGCTGATGACACCCAGCTTTATCTGATGCTGGGCGGCCAGTCGGGATCCAGACCGGAGGACCTGGACGGGGCCTTGCAGGCTGTGGCGGGTTGGCTCAGACTGAGTCGACTGAGGCTGAATCCAGCGAAGACAGAGGTCCTGTGCTTGAGTCGGGGCGGTGCAGGGGCGGGGATCCCTCTTCCATCCTTCGGGGGGGCTCCATTGGTGCCAGCGCCGGAGGTACGGAGTTTGGGCGTCCTCCTGGATTCCTCCCTTACAATGGAGGCCCAGGTGGCGGCCACTGCCAGGTCAGCCTTTTACCATCTTAGGCTGATCAGGCAGTTGGTCCCCTTCCTTGACCGCGCTGACCTAGCAACAGTGATCCATGTGATGGTCACCTCGAGACTAGACTACTGTAATGCTCTCTACATGGGGCTGCCCTTGTCTCGGATCCGGAAGCTGCAGCTGGTGCAGAATGCCGCAGCCAGGCTGTTGATGAATCTCCCTAGACGAGAGCACATCCAGCCTGTGCTGAGGACACTGCACTGGCTGCCTATAGCATACCGAGTCCGTTTCAAGGTGCTGGTTCTTACCTTTAAAGCCCTACATGGCTGGGGTCCAACATACCTTCGGGACCGCCTTTCCCCGTATATACCCCAGAGAGCACTACGGTCGGGGTCTCAAAACCTGTTGACCCCTCCTGGCCCGAGGGAGGCTAAGTTAGCCATTACCAGGGCCGGAGCCTTCTCAGTGGCGGCCCCTACCTGGTGGAATGAGCTCCCGGAAGAGATCAGGGCCCTGCGGGATCTTTTACAGTTCCGCAGGGCCTGCAAGACGGAGCTCTTCCACCAGGCATTTAAGTAGGGGCCGCTGCTGCTATGGGCTGCTGTTGTGGCTCATATTACTGCAGGTCGCTGCAGATCGCCACAACTAAATACGGCTGGTGATTCAACAACAACATGGAATAACGACAGAAACCATCTGTGGACATCAGGGCAATGGCAATTGATTTCTGCAACTTACCATCAAGATGAATTATAATCTGCCGCCTGCACTTTGCATTTATGTATTAATGTTTTGTGGCATGTTTGTATATTCTGTATTTTAATGTATTTATGTTTTTAATGGAAGCCGCCCTGAGCCCGCTTGCGGGGAGGGCGGGGTATAAGTCTGAATAAATAAATAAATAAAATAAATATTTGGAGGAAAGGCAGTATGATAGAGCCCAATCTTGTCAGATCTTGGAAGCTCAGCAGGGTCAGTACTTGACTACCAAGGAAGGCTCTGCAAAGCAAGGTAATGGCAAACCACCTCTGCTTCTCACTTCCCTTGAAAGCCTCTTGCTGCGACTTGATAGCACCTACTGTATGCATCCTATTCTTTAATAATCCTATCGTGAAGTAAATAAGCTTTGGGCGGTAGTCCAACTATGCACGCCAGGTATTAGTGCACCAAATCTCCATAGCCCCATAAAGGAGGCATCTACTTTTCTAAAAAAGCCATCTTTTACAAAGAAACTTTCATTAAAAGATTTTAGAAGACCTAACAAGCTTATTTGCTCAAAAATCTATGCTTTCCTGCTAAGGGGAAGTGTACTCACCTGCATAAGTTGCTTTGTCCTTTGTTGAAACAGACTGTAGTCCTCCTATTATAACAAGAAGAAGAAGAACAAAGGAGTTTGTCTCTTCCCACACAAAGCCACACTATTGGCTCAAAATGAATTTTAAACAGAAGCAGCAGCTGCCAGTCCAAACAAGGACATTGAGAAAATAGCTGCAGTCTGGTTTCACTGGTCCAAGAATAGGGACACAGCCTTGCAGTTCCCCTTTCCTTTGTCAAGCATGGCAAGTATTAGAATACATTCTCTGCTCTACAGTGAAATTTTAAAAACCTGTTAACTGTTTGAGACTATAATGAACTCTCATGAGAGGCACAGCCCTGCAGAACGTAGCTGGGAAGTTACAAAAGAAGAAGGGGGTGAATGCAGAAGTCTGGTTAGCATCAGAGTATGTGGCATTCTACACATTCTCTTACACAGATGAGACAATCCAGCAAAATCAATAGGCTTAAAAGGGTGTACCTCTGCTTAGGACTGCACTCAAAAAGAAGTAATTACACCATTGGGCATGGTTTTATAGGGGGCATACTTCAGGAAGAAGACAAGGAACCTTAAAATGGTGCAGAAGCAACCACACAGAGCATAGGCTTCAGAATTAGAGGTTTGATGGGAACATTTTGGAGCTCCTGTTGTCCCCAAAATGCATTCTGGCATGCACTTGGCAAAGCCCTGTTTTCAGCTCATGTATTTTCTTGCACAGGTATCCATAAGCATAGAGGGGAAAGTCTCTCTCTCTCTCTCTGTGTGTGTGTGTGTGTTTTGAGAAACAGTAAGTATTAGTGAGTTCCCAGAATAAATAAAACAAATACACTCAACTTCTTGGGCATGATGGCATACTTAGGTGCAGGGGTCATTTCCTGCAGGAGCGCACAGGAGCAGAGCTCCGGCAGTAAAGAGCCCAGGGGGCGGGCACATGCAACAAGCCCCACTCCCTGCTCCAAGCAGCCTCAGGCCACAAGGAGCAAGAAGCAGCCAGGTAAGTTGCAGAGCCCCCCCCCCCCAGATAGCAATCCAAAACAGTCCAGTGGCACCTTTAAGGCCAAGGTTTATTCAGGTACAACCTCTCCCTCCTCTGTGAGGACAGATCTGCGCGTGCCCCCCCCCCTAGCTAGCAATCCAAAAGAGTCCAGTGGAGCCTGAGTGGTGGGTGTCGCCTTCTGACACACTTCCGGTGATGTCAGGGTGTGTGGCCTATGCAGATGAGTTATGCTAATGAGCTCCTGCACCTCTTTTTCTACGAAATGACCCCTGCTTAGGTGTATACATTTATTTCTACACCAATATAGGGAAAAAATTCTGTGTGAAGGACCCCTAATTTTTCACGTCAGGGGAAGAACTAAATATTTACCATTTGTTTCTGATTTGAGGAAGGAATCTCCAGCATAAGAGGAAGAAACAGCTTGCTTTTCTTTCTTCAGGGTGTCTTTGGTACAATAACCTGTAGAAGGCCCAAAACAACAAAAAGGCACCTTCTTTGGTGCTAAATAGACCTCACACTCAGCTTGCATAAACTGGCCTCTTTCCATTGACAGTAAAACCAACTTCTTTCTTATTTATGTTGGCTTTCTTATTCTAAGATCACAGCACTAGTCACCAGAAATGTTAATCCACTATTTACCAGATTTATCTGTACATATATCCCATGTACTAATTTATATGAAATTAGTGAGATCTAATACATTCAGGCTCTGAACTGGATAGCCCAGGCTAACCTGATGTCGTCAGATATCTGAAGCTAAGCAGTGTTGTCCCTGGTTAATATTTGGATGGGAGACCACCAAGGAATACCAGGGTCACTATGCAGAGGCAGGCAATGGTATACCACCTCTGAATGTCTCTTTCCTTGAAAATCCCATGGGACTGGGGGGCATTTTCTACCACCATTATGTTGAGAGACATGATCAGGTTGAATGCTTTATTGAGAACGCAATGAGAAAATGGTCCCATTCATGAATAGCACTGATGTTACCTTATGACAAATGCACAATTAATAGAGGGATAACATGAAATATCAACCTGAGAGCTAATCACATGATCATTTGAGCATGTGGTAGCCAGAGTAACATTTTGTCCATTGGACAGCTGGCCCACCATGTGCAAATACAACTGCAAGTACTCAGAAAGATGAATCCTGCGCACAGCAAAAGATAAGCACAAATGGTTGTCCACAGGCTGCAAACCAGCACAAGCAAGATTATTAAACAATATTCCCATTACTAACAGTCATATGAATAGGCCCTGAGAACATATCTCAATGGGAGCTTTCAGGTTAGGGTTTCTGGCAGTAAATCAGAAGTTGTATAAGAGAATATTTTGTTTGATCCCCACAACATGTCCACACAGACTCCCAACAATACTTTGATGGGAATCCTTATGTACTGAAACTTGTGGGATGAGGCTAAGTGAGCATAACCAAACATTGAAAAGTTCCTCATGCAAATTTACATTAGCACCAATGTTGCCACAGTCATGTGGGAATGTGTCAGAGGGGGCAATATATGTATGCGAAGGAATCAACTGGGAAGAAATCACAGTCACCGAAGTGAGCAATTCCACCTCATTTGTGAAATTTCCTCACTGCAACTGTTCAATGGAGATTTACTCTTTTGAGTTTTAGATGCCAGGTGAAGACTTTTTTATTTTTGTGGGTATTCGGTGATACTTAAACTTTGGATTATGTTTCTCTTGCCCTCCTTATCTGCTGCTGCAGCTGTTATTTGGCTTAAAAAATTAATGCTAGAATTCTAATGATGTTGGTTTTCATTTTGTAATTAATGCGTTGGGCATAATAACACTCTTCAACTAACTAAGGAGGCTCAATCCGGGGGGGGGGGGAGAGGAAAAGAAAGACTCTTAGCAGAAAAGAGTTGTTGGATCTCACCCCCTGAGTTTAATTTTATTGGGGGGTTTGTATTTCTTATGACTGATAATGAGCTGCCTTGAGGACTTTTTATGATACAGGTAAGATATAAGTACCTTACAATAAAAAGTAAACAATGCCATCTTCTTTTAGACCTTCCTGAAGTGCCATGAGACTGAGCTGCTGGGAAGTGACTCTGGGAAGTGGCTCTGATGCCCCTCTTGTGCTATGTGAATTGAGAATAACTCACTAGTATGGGCACGTGACAGTGTGTCATGTGACAGCATGTGCCATAAGAAAACAGACCTCCATTGAGACCAGTGTTGGATGCACTGAAGACTTTCCCACTGTCTTTTGTCATGATCAGCAACTCCACCTCTTTCTTGGGGGCCACATTCTCTTTCTCGAGGAGCAGAAATTTGCAGTCCTTGCGTAGGATGTCATCATTTTGGGAGTTCATGGTGGTGGCAGCTGGAAGATAGGCCAAAATCAGACGATAAACCAAGAAAAATGATCATATGGATCTGATATGCAATGGCTTGTCGTATTTGTGGCAGAAAGAAACCACACTACTTCTTTGCAGCCTCAAGATGAGCCTCTTGCATTGGAGGAAGGCTCCTTGCACCAAAAGAACACACCACTCTTACTTTAGTAGAGTGGAATGATATATTTGGGACCTGAACGTTTTGGGTTTCAGCATTTAGTTCCTAGAAGTTGCTTTATAAACAAATTTTAAAAATAGGATTGCTGACTTTTGCTAGCACGGTTCCTATGACTTTAAAAATTATGTGAAAGGTTGAAGCAGTGTTCATAAAGATTTCCATAACGATATATCTCTCTGTTTGGAAAAGCTCCACCCACTGAATTGCTGCCTCTTGTCATTGTTTAAGACACTAGAGCCTTGCTGTGGATCAAAAGGCCAACCCGGTCCAGAATTGGTGAGGAGACTGTATCCCAAATCAAGTCCGCTGAAGGTAGATAGTGCTGGGGAGGAGCCAGTGGTCGTGGTGCATGTCGGCACCAACGATGTGGGGAAATGCAGTCGTGAGGTCCTGGAGGAGAAATTTAGGCTGCTGGGCAGGAAACTCAAGGCCAGGACCTCCAAGGTAGCCTTCTCAGAAGTGCTACCTGTTCCACGCGCAGGGCCGGAGAGACAGGCACAGATCAGGAGTCTCAATGCGTGGATGAGACGATGGTGTAGGGGGGAAGGGTTCAGGTTTGTTAGGCACTGGGATACTTTTTGGAACAAGAGGGAGCTGTACAGGCGAGACGGTCTCCACTTGTCCCAAGAAGGAACCAGGCTGCTGGCGCTTAAAATCAAAAAGGTGGCAGAGCAGCTTTTAAACTAAATATTGGGGGAAAGCCGACAGGAGATGAAAAGTCTCTGGTTCGGGTTGGCTCATCTCAGAGAGATGAGGGGGTACCTGTTGCTTTTCTACAGGGAGGTGGATTGAAATTGTCCACAGAGGCCATGGCTGGTGACATGGACTGCCGGACAACGACTCGAGATAGCAAGAGGAAGGATGCAGGCTTAACTTGTAAGGGAAATTACAGCTGTTTCTATACAAATGCTAGAAGTGTCCGAGGTAAAATCGGGGAGTTGGAGTGCTTGGTGAGGGAGGGAAAAATAGACATTGTGGGTATTTCTGAAACTTGGTGGGATGAGGAAAATCAGTGGGACACAGTGATTCCCGGTTATATATTATATCGGAAGGATAGGGGGGGAAGGGTTGGAGGTGGGGTAGCTCTGTATGTCAGAGAGGGTATAAAGTCTAGAAAGATTGAGAGGCTAAGTGAATTGGATTCGCTTCTGGAAGTTCTATGGGTTGAAATAGGGGGGCCAAAAGGAAACTTAACACTGGGAGTTTGTTATCGCCCACCAGATCAAAAGATAGAGGAGGATTATAAAATGATGAATGCCTTAAAGATAGCAACTAGACAAAAACACTGTGTAATAATAGGTGATTTTAACTACCCACACATTGATTGGGTCAATATGTGTTCTAGCCGGGAAAAAGAGATTGAGTTTCTAGACACTCTAAATGACTGTGCTATGGAGCAGATGGTCACGGAACCTACCAGGGGAGAGGCGATCCTTGATTTAGTCCTAAGTAACACTCAAGACCTGGTGAGAGATGTAAAAGTGATTGCACCGCTTGGAAACAGTGATCATAATGTTGTTGAGTTCATCATTTGTACAAATAGAGAATTGGCCAAAAAGACTCACACAACCATTTTTAACTTTAAAAGGGGTAATTTCTCTGATATGAGGGGACACGTGGGGAGGAAACTGAAAGGAAAAGTAGAAAGGGTCAAAACAATTGGGGAAGCTTGGGATCTATTTAAAACTACGATCCTAGAAGCTCAAAAAATATATATTCCGCAGGTTAGGAAAGGCACAAACAGGTATAGGAAAAAGCCTGCATGGTTAACAAACAGAGTAATGGAGGCTGTAAAAAGTAAAAAGAATTCCTTTAAGCAGTGGAAAGCTAGTCACAGTGAGGCTGATAAAACGGAACACAGGCTATGGCAAATAAAATGCAAGTCTGAGGTCAGGCAGGCAAAAAGGGAATATGAGGAGCATATAGCAAAAAACGTAAAAACCAACAATAAAACTTTCTTCAAATACATTAGAAACAGGAAACCAGCCAGGGAGGCAGTGGGGCCCTTGGACGACCAAGGGGTAAAAGGAGTATTGAAGGATGATAGGGAAATGGCTGAGAAGCTAAATGCATTTTTTGCCTCCGTCTTCACTGTGGAAGATGAGAAGTGCTTGCCCACTCCAGAACCACTGATTTCAGGAGGGGTGTTGAAAGACCTGAGTCAGATTGAGGTGACGAGAGAGGAGGTCCTAAAACTGATAGACAACTTAAAAACTGAAAAATCACCAGGCCCAGATGGCATACATCCGAGAGTTCTGAAAGAACTCAAATGTGAACTTGTAGATCTCCTGACAAAGATATGTAATCTTTCCTTAAAATCTGCCTCCATTCCTGAGGATTGGAAGGTAGCTAATGTCACTCCCATCTTTAAAAAGGGTTCCAGAGGAGATCCGGGAAATTACAGGCCAGTCAGTCTGACGTCGATACCGGGTAAATTGGTGGAAACCATTATTAAGGAAAGAATTAGTAGGCACATAGATGAACAAAACCTATTGAGGCAGACTCAGCACGGTTTCTGTAAGGGAAGATCTTGTCTCACTAACCTGTTAGTGTTCTTTGAGGGGGTGAACAAACATGTGGACAAGGGGGATCCAATAGATATTATTTACCTTGACTTCCAGAAAGCTTTTGATAAAGTTCCTCATCAAAGGCTCCTAAGTAAGCTCAAAAATCATGGGATAGAAGGACAAGTCCTTTTATGGATCAAAAACTGGCTAGTTCATAGAAAACAGAGAGTGAGTGTAGGTGGGCAATTTTCTCAGTGGAGGGTGGTAAGCAGTGGGGTACCGCAGGGATCAGTACTTGGTCCACTGCTTTTTAACTTGTTCATTAATGATTTGGAGATGGGAGTAAGCAGTGAAGTGGCTAAATTTGCGGATGATACAAAGTTGTTCAGGGTGGTGAAAACCAGTGAGGATTGTGAGGCACTCCAAGGGGATCTGTCAAGGATGGGCGAGTGGGCGTCAACATGGCAAATGGGGTTCAATGTGGCCAAGTGCAAGGTGATGCACATTGGAGCCAAAAATCCTAAATATAAATACACATTGATGGGGTCTGAACTGGCAGAGACTGAGCAAGAGAGAGATCTTGGAGTTGTAGTGGATAACTCACTGAAAATGTCGAGACAGTGTGTGACTGCAATAAAGAAGGCCAATGCTATGCTGGGGATTATTAGGAAGGGTATTGAAAACAGATCAGCCAATATAATAATGCCCCTATATAAATCAATGGTGAGACCTCATTTGGAATACTGTGTGCAGTTCTGGGCACCACACCTTAAAAAGGATATTATAGCTTTGGAAAAAGTGCAGAAAAGGGCAACTCGAATGATAAAAGGGTTGGAACACTTTCCCTATGAGGAAAGGTTAAAGCGCTTAGGGCTCTTTAGCTTGGAGAAAAGACGACTGAGGGGTGACATGATCGAGGTTTATAAGATTATGCATGGGAAAGAGCAGGTAAAGAAAGAGGTACTTTTCTCCCTTTCTCACAATACAAGAACTCGTGGGCACTCCATGAAACTGCAGAGCGGTCGGGTTAGAACGGATAAAAGGAAGTACTTCTTCACCCAAAGAGTGATTAACACATGGAATTCACTGCCACAGGAAGTGGTGGGTGCTACAAGCATGGACGGCTTCAAAAGGGAATTAGATAAGCATATGGAGCAGAGGTCCATCAGTGGCTATTAGCCACAAGGTATAGCTAGGGGCTCTGGGGCAAGTGATGCTCTGTCTTCTTGGTGCTTGGGGGGGGGGTCAACAGTGGGAGGGCTTCTAATGTCCTGGCCCCACTGCTGGACCTCCTGATGGCACTGGTATTTCTGGCCACTGTGTGACACAGAGTGTTGGACTGGATGGGCCTTTGGCCTGATCCAACATTGGCGTCTCTTATGTTCTTATGTACTTGGCCTTTTCCTCCAACTGTTCAACTCAGGCTAATATAGACACTTCAGTATTTGGTGGTAAATTTCCCCTATATTAATTGTAGAGAATCTGATACTTTTAAATCAGAAACAATAGAAAAGCCATTGCACATATCAACATCAATAATGCAGAAGCTGACAAAAGGGTTATAACAGGAGGTTATGCAGGAGTGAACGAGTTATAAATCCTGACAAAACATCTTTTACCTAATACTGATGGGCCAGAAATTTCCAATAGTACTAAGAAAGCTTGGAAACTATTAAGGAATTCTGCTATATGCTGCGTAAGCCTGTCGTTCAATCAAACAGCAAGTGGGAAAGATCTCTGCCCTTTGATTTATTCACCATGTAAAATGCTTCCTGTGGAAATTGTCTGGCACAAAGTTGTAATTAAAGACATTGGATTTGGTTTTGCAACTAGATAGCCTGGTGGAAATTAGATGCTGCTCCACTTTGAGGGAAATTGTTACAAAACTGGCATTGGGGATAAGATAAATTATGTCTCCAACCATTTGAACATGCAATGCCTTTATTTTTAATTTTTAAAATTCAAACAGCAACAGCTGCATCTAGTGGACAATATGGTTAACAACATGGCTTCTTTTAAAAGTTTTATTTTTTTAACAAGTGTGATAAATTTACCGATAGAATTTTATAATTAAACTTTTTTTTTAAAAAAAATATTGCTTTTATTCTCTACACACTACAGGGAATAAGGGTAAGGGATCTTCTAAACTAAGGGTGTAGACTTTCCAATTTCCCGGGGGGGGGGGCTGGGGCTGGGCCAGAGGCATTGCTTTGCTAGGAGCAAGGGTGGCTCCCGGGGGAGGCTGAGCACCTTCCTGAAAATTTCAGCGGGGGCTGAGGCCCCGCTGCCCCCACGAAGATTATGCCTGGGCAGCCTGGTTTAGACTGCCCAACAAAGCCCCCCAGGAGCAATCCTGCTGGGGGAACTATCACCACCAGCTTGGCTGTGGCTCTCCCCACAGGATCGGCTGGGGGGGGGGGCTCTGTTGGGCAGTCTAAACCAGGCTGTCCAGCCAAACACACTTCCCTTGGAGCCCTAAGCATTCACTAGTACCTTCACTAGTAGAAGCCATTTAGTGTAGTGCTTAGGAGTGCAGACTCTAATCTGGGAGAACCGGGTTTGATTCCCCACTTCTCCACATGCATCTGCTGGTGTGACCTTGGGTCATACACAAGTTCTGTCAGAGCTATTCTCTCACAAGCAGTTCTCAAAAGAGCTCTCTCAGCCCCACCTACCTCACAGGGTGTCTGTTGTGGGGAGGGCAAGGGAAAGGAGATTGTAAGCCTCTCTGAGACTCCTTCAGGTAGTGAAGGGTGGGGTATAAATTTAACCCCCTCCTCTTCTTTTTCTACAGTACCTTCTGCATTTTTCCCCCTAAAAGGAACTTCCCACCCAGGAACTGGCATGATGAGTGCGATGCTGCTTAACCAGTTGAGCTCAATGGCCACCTTGTCTATACAGAAGGAAAAAAGGCAATTGAAGCTGTTCAATCGTACCTTCAGACTTTCCCTTTTAACATGCAGGAAACTAAAAAGAAACTAAAAATCTCAGCACAACCCAGCCAGCCAGATCTCTGCAAGCTGTGCTGCCCTCTCCCAGGTGCTTGCTGGATGCTGTTGCACAGCTGCAACATGATGATTTCTTAATTTTTTTAAAAGCGTGAACATGTCAACCCCAATCTAGAAAAGAGCG